ATGGGAAATCAGTTGGCTCCTCTTGTTGCAGCACGCTTGTTAAACAGGCTCGCTTTTCAGTCAAATCTGCATAGCAGTATAAACCCAGGCTGGAAAGCACCAGGCTTGCCGGTGCGATTGTGTGTTTTTGCATTAAGTTTGCGGGTCGTTAATAGCAGGTATAATCCGTGCGTTGCAGCCAAACACTTGGGCTCATACTGCCCATGCTTTAGTTTCTTCCGGCATGCAGCAGAACGGGCATCGGTTGGGATGAGGGTGTTGCGTTATAAAGCCACATGGGCCTGCAGGTACATGATTACCAGTTTTTCGCATAAAGCTAGTTCGTTTTTTCAGTAAATGCTAGCTTTTTGAAAAAGTGAAAATGAAAATTTTTTGAAAAAATCCAAATTTCCAGTTCACTAAAAGGTGGAAGTGTTGCTCGAGCTGTCGCTAGTCCAAAAATCCAAGTATGCAAATGAACTAATGTTCATTTACATATTTGGATGAGGGCGGTCGTTCACTGCAAAACGCGCTCGTTTCTGATTTTTCGGTAATTTTAGGTATGCTATTTCGTGTGTGGAAGTCAAAAATCTTGAAAAAATTTCAGCCACTGTTTTCCGGCAAGCTTTCGAGCTAACATAGTATCAAGTCGTAAGCTTAGACGTGGTCATATGTGCTGCACAAGCGTGCGTGACAACTGAATTTGAAATCTTTAGCTCGCACATGCACAGAGAATATTCCTGCATAATTTCAGCTTTGTACCTCGCCCGGTTCGCAAAATCGTTTCCTGCCAATGAAATGTGCATTTTTTCGGGGATCCGTACGCCGGGTCTAGGCGCGTTGGGAGGGGGGAGGAGGTGGGGGGAAGGGCTTAAAAAGGGAGAGTGACATACGGGGTAGGAACATATACGCAAAATTTCAGCCATCCAACTTTCCTGGCTGCTGAGATGGAAGTAGGAGACACACACATACGCGCAGACATCCTCTCGAGAATATGCGCTTTTGCTGGCTGTTCTCTGCTCCAGCGCTGCACAGCAAAACCCCATAAGAGGGATTTTTGTGATTGCGTTATTGGGGCATGTTTTTTTCTCTTCTTTAAGGGTGTTAAGAATCTTATTACCTATCATAATTTGGTGTAAATTGCAATCCGGGAAATGGACCTTATTGCAGGTTTGCGGTGACTGAGCTTCCTTGTGAAATGAATACTCATACAAACGGTGCGTCAGAGAGAGACCTGCAAGAGAATGATGAGCGCGGAAGCACACAGCTTGAGGAGGAAACTACGGAGTCAGGTGTAGATGCTGCGAGTGTGGAAACT